GTTAAATTAGTGAAATGACTTCTGGAAATGTATTATTATTATTATTTTTTTTTTAGCCCCTCCCCTTTGCGCGGTCCCTGACCAAGAACCCTTTATATATTGAGCTATTTACTTTTCCCCACTAATCTAGCCCTGGGGAAAAATGAGAATAATAAATTCAATAGACTGAATTGCACTGAAAACTGAACGCGAGAAAATGTTCTGCTTTAGAAAAATGAAAAACGCTCGACGGTTGCGTGACAGGATACGTTCTTAACTTCCGGACCGGAGGTTATTTTTTGATAGGTCTGGAAGAGGGGGGTTGAAGTACAGACTGATATCGTTGTAAGGATGGTGACCCAGTGCTGGGGAGGGGATGGGCTCTAAAGTCAGGCAGCACTAACAGAAAGAACCTCACTGTGACTACGATACTGGAAGCAGCGGTTCCCAAGCTGGAGAAACGCATCGGGCAAAGGGCTGACCTACGGAGTAATATGGAAAAGCAATGCGAAGAGCGAGGCACAGCGAAGGCTCTAGTAGTATCTTTGACAAGGGGCAACTTCCTCAGTAACACCTTTTGTAAAACTTCGATTTTTTTCTCGCTCAGTCAGCGTGAAAAAACGTACAGCACATACAAATCTGGGCGATTAAGAAGTAGAAAAGCCATCAACGAAATATTGGGGAAATATTAGTCAAACTGGCAACCAAAAACTCTACCAATATTTCCCCAATTACGGGGACCGAACAAGCTAGTTCAATAAGTTTTTAGTACAAGGTTTTTTTAAAACCTTTGTTGATTAACGCGCGCACGCCAAAGTAAAGCATGTTCTTACATTTTTTCACGCCACTTTGCGAAAGAATAACCAAAAATTGCTGCCAGACAAAAGGAAAAAAATGTTTCTACTTTATACAACACAGTTTTATTTTGTTCAATGTTTCAAAAAGGAACCCCCCCCTGAAAATGAGTTCGTCAACGGTCCTCTTAGCCCTTCCGTATTTGGAACGTCGGACCGCTAGGGGCACCTTTTGGCGTGGACCAGTTTGCCATATAATAAATGGATATTCCTACAAAGAATTAGTTTGGCAAGTGTGTTGTTAAAAATTGTGCGATCGACCCGGTTGGACCAAGACATCTAGTAGCTTGCATTACAGACCCAATTGATCAGGTTTACCGTTGTCATTTACACAACATAGTTTTCACTCACTGCTGACAACCGTACGGCTGGAAGTGCGAAATAAAAATTAACAGCAAGAATCCATTCTTGTATATGCGAGCGGGGAATTATATGCAAGCCGGCAATCACATGTTGCAAGTCAAAAGAAAATGCCCCCAATTTTTTTTTTCCCCCCTCAAAAACTCTTTCCACCTTTAAAAGGGAGGGTTTCACGGTCGGCGCATGGGTTCAAGGCTTTCAACTTTATCCGTTTAAAAACCCAACTCCCATGTCATCTCGACACTTCAGTAATCACATACTATTAACTAGTACAAGCAAAAAGAAGAATGACCAAAAATTTTACAAAAAAAATTAACGGATTACACCGGAATTGCCGACATTGCAATACCAGAATAAATCAACCACAATAAAGTGTTGGCCCGAAGGGGATATATCTTTTGGGTTATTTATTCTGCGTATTCAAATGTCGGACATTCTCGGGTTAATTCAGTTGAATTTTGAATTTTTTTTGGCGAATTTTGGTTCGCCTCGTTTTATGCTTGGACCAATTATAGTATGCATGTGATTACTGAAGTATCAAGAAGTGCATGTGAATGGGTTTTTTTAACGGATAAAGCCTGATAAGCCGGCGCATGCGCCCCCCGGAAACACCTCGCTTTAATGTCCAAATCCGGTGCCTCCGAAACCACCTCCTAAACGTAAAGGGACAGTGATTAATCAACGGAAGTTGATAATTCAGATTGATAACGATTCCAAACAATCAGGCTTTATTCCTGGTCGTGAAAGCTTTTCACGTGATCATATGCCTTAGTTGATAGATACTTTCAGATAAAGCAGAGGGCATTTCTCGCTTGCCAGTTTTCACTGCAATTCAGTGTATTGAATTTATTATTCTCATTTTCCCCTTCTACAGTACTGCGGATTTTTCAGTTTTTAATTCCAAATGTCAGAAAATATGCACTTGTGCGATAAATGTTCAACCCTATAGATTAAAAATAAAAACAAGGAAAACTATAAATGAAATAAGGCTTTCTTATTGGTATACCCCACCCTCTTCCAGCATCCCCTCATAAAAATGAACTTCCGGCTCCTTCTTTGGTTTACATGTAGTTGTCGATTTCGTTGAAAACCCGTTCTGACCGTAATTAGCGGTAAATTCCACAAGAAGCAAAAACAAGAGACATGTTTTAGAGAATTAAACCGCATTTGGTTCGCTGTTACAGTTCAAAACTAATGGTTAAACAAAGGCCTTTTTGTGGGAAGTACTTGAAGCCGCTCAGTTCTTTTGAACGAAAATGGAAACAGAGAATCTTCTCATCAAACACGTCCGAATTATGCTTAACTAAACAAACATGGCTGCCTGGTCATATTTCAGTGAGCTCGCAATTATCGCGAAGGAAGCAACAACAGACAGGACTACAGCCCCTCTTCTTTGATTACAGCAAACTAAAGGTTAGAAGGGTTTTAATGTTAAATTAGTTGTAGGTGAACGTAAACTGCGAAACAATCAAAGTTTGCGTGTATGTGCACATTGAACTAATTAAGGAGACTTTTCGGTATCCGTTGAATCAGCGCTTTTTTAGCCAACTTTTAAATGTCATACATCGCACTGAATCATTTCCCAAAATTCCTTTGGGATCGCAAAAGAAGCACCCTTCGCCTTTCCAAATGGTGACAGATTTTGGCAAATTATTTTGTGTAGCACATACTTAAATTAATAGGTTTAGTTTTGACCTATTTTTTAATCGAGTTTAAAAGTAGGTCGGACAAATTTAATTATATTTGTAAATAAAAAAAGACAAGAATTGCTCAAATTGCTCTCAACATCTATTTTCGATATCGTTTCTTTTTAAGATTTTGGGTATTTTTATTGTCCTAGAATGTTTCATTTTGCTACGCGAAGCTTCGAGATTCGCCTTAAATTTGAGCTCCAAAAGCGCATTGTGACAGAATTCGGTTATTATCGATTTTCTCGAAAATAAACGATATTCAGCCAAACAAAGGTATTGCAGTGATTTTGTTTCATATTAAAGGTCTACCTAACATGAGAATATGAGCAGAATTGATTTTTCGGCTGTGGCCACCAATGTCTGCCGTATGGTTTAAAATTCACTCTAAATCCTCTGGGATTTAAGATGGGCCCGCGTGATTAAAGCGTCATTTTGCGAGTTTCGTATTGCATTCGATCGAGCCGTTGCGAAATTCCGATCGCAAACCCCAAAATGTATAAAAATACTTTACACAAACCGTTTACACCTAAACGCAGAAAAATTTTATGTTAAAAAAAATAATAACTTAGCAAGGTTTGAAGCAAGATAAGAACAATTCCATCAAACTCTCAAAACAAATATTTACCGTATCCGATCCAAAGGGATATCGATTTCTCCGAAGACTTAATAGAAATGTGACGATGCAAGAAACCGTTCATATACATCCCACGCAGTCTTTTAAACAACACAAAGCTCACTTTGTATTCGCTTTGAATTTGATAGAAGTAGATGTACTGTTTTGGGTTGTAATATCCTCCGTTTTATCTTTTGATACGACTTGTTTACAAGTTCACGCCATTTCCGAAAGGTTACTGAGTGACACTGCTGGCGAGTCCCTTGCCATCCCGTTGACTCGATGATAAAATCACCGGTGGTCAAAAACTACTTACACCTAGTGTGGATCTAGGTCATAAATAAACCCAGCATGTCCTTCGACAATTCAAACATGGCCGATCTAAGTGGTGTAGGCATTTGTAAACAAATTTTGCTGTAAATGTTTTTAATAGATCAAAGAATCAACTTTAATTTGGTTTAAGAAAGTATTTTTTTTTTTTCGAAAAAGTAATCCAAGGTGTTTATTCTGGTTTCATTTTAGGGTCCTTGCGGTTGGTCCCCAGCTATTTTAAAGCTTTCATCCTTTTCACTTTACAACGCCCAAGGATAACAATCCTGTCAGCTGATCAGTATCAAAAGCGCAAAACGCAATGTACAGGTGTAACTCGTACGGACCCATTTTTGGTGCTGGTGGATATCATGATATCTACATACCGAACGACGCTTTGAACAACCAAAAACTCTTACACCAAATGCGGCTACACATACTCCAAATCCCGGGCTACTCAGCTGGTGACTGTAGGTTTTTTCACTGGAGCCTTACATTTTACTCCTGATGACATCGAAGTATTCTACAAAATAGGTAACTAAATACCGAAACACATGAAAATCTGAAGTAAATATTAAAAAAGAGTAACGTAACGTATTTACGACTGGGACTGAATGGCCCACAACTGCCTGAGCTGAATAGATTCCGTAGCATGAAGCGGATATTAGTATGGCTACTCAGTCATTCTCGAGCCCAGACCTTCGCTGCTTTTCTTGACTACGCAAAAGAGTAGAGCTCTGGGGGTCGAGATTGCCCCTGGGTGGGATGCTAGTCCATCGCAGGTAACCTCTCAGCATTTTTGTCAGGTTGCCCTAACAGTTCTGACAGTTCGCCGGTAACAAGTTACTTCTGGGTGGAGAGAGGCACTGCGAGAGTAAAGTGTCTTGCCCAAGAACACAACACTGTGACCCCCGCCAGGGCTCGACCCCAGACCACTCGATCCGGAGTCCAACGCGCTAACCTGGCCACCACGTCTCCCACAAAACACCGAGTAATAACCTTTAGTCGGCTCGGTGAACAAACTGCAAGCTTGAATTCCACTCTAAAGTGAAAAGATAATTGTTTGCACAGTTTGAAGGAGGAATTAATTAAAAAAAGGAGGCAATCAGTCGTTGCTTGAAACGACTTGAACCAATCCAAATCTGAGAAAGATATCGGTCTGATTCAGTCAGACACAAGCTACTTGGAAACGTTTTCCTAACACTGAGGAATCGAACTTATGACCTTTTGCACACCAGTCGAAAGCTCTACCACTGAGTTACTGACGGGAGACTCGTGGGAGCTTAGGCCATATCTTAAGGTAGTTCCCAGGGCGTTTCGTTTGTCCGGTTGGTTGCACCGGTTATAATGTCCGATGTAGGGTGACTGGGCGAGTAAGCCTCTGCAGAGAGGTGGCCGTTATAGGGAGGTGACCGTTTTGGTATAGTGATAGCCTGTAAACAGGCTCCTTAATTTGGGTGTAGGTGGTTTGCTCGCCGATTCTTTTCACTCTGTACCCCACTTTATAGCGGCTTTTCACAGGCTAGTATAGTGAAAGCTTGACTGTGTTTTACTTTTTACGTTTTTCCTCGTTTACCAAGGGGGACTCGGTGCATCCGTTATTCTTGGCAGCCTCGACCACAGCAAATACTTGGGAAAGTTGATTTCTTATCTAGATCCAGTCCTTCCAAATGCATTCCGTAGCGACTTTGTGAGGTGTTGGCATGCCAAGACAGACGGCTGGGCTGGATCGACATTCCACACCAACTGTGATAGAAAGGGACCCACAGTGACAATCATCAAAGTCGGCAGTTACATATTTGGTGGATACACTGATGTGTCTTGGTACAGCAGTAAGTATTTAACAGAAATTTTTTTATGGGCTTCATAAACAAGTATTAATTTTGTTGTTGTTATTATTGTTGTTGTTGTTGTTGTTGTTGTTGTTGCTGTTGCTACTACTACTGCTGTTGTTTAGAAAAGAGCACTTTTGGTAAACAATTTCTTTTGATTTGCCTCACCTTGCCTTTCAATTGCTGTTGTCTTTAAGCCGTTCCAACTGATGTTTACGATGTGTTTTCTATTCTTGTTTTTCACTTTAGGTTATAATATAAGTGAGATTGTTTACTGTACAGCCTCGTCTACGTTGTTTAACAGGTCTTGCTGTTTTCGCAACACTTCACCAACAACTATAGAAACGATAATCACACAGCACGAACGTCACGATCCCATTTCACGCACTGATATAATTTGCAAATTCACGCATCACGTTAATCGTTCATATAAAGCTTTAACTCCTTCACGTATCAAGCTATCATGTTTGCTCAAATCACGCGTAACGCAAAACTCCTTTTCAATCCTCTTGCCGCAGATGTTGTTGTTGTTATTTTTTCTTTTTAAAGCAAATTTTACCACACAGTTTTCTCTTACTCTTTTAGTTGCTATTCTGCCTCGTACCCAGGCGCTTCTCTTTTATACGCGGGAGCTTTTGGATCTACGCGGGAGTTTTCGGAGGCGCAAGGGAATATGGGTCTTTCCGTGATCCTTTGCGCTCTCTGTAAAGCGTTCCTTCCGCGCCCCCGGTCGCTCTCATGTCGAAAATCCCAATAAGTGCCTGGAGACATGTTGCTGTTTACAAGCTGTTTTTGTGGTGTTGTTTTCATTTTAGGTTCTTGCACTTGGTCCTCAGCTAGTAAGCTTTCATCTTTTCGCTTTACAACGCCCAAGGATACAATCCTGTTAAGCTGACTCAGTATCAAAATCAGCATCGGGCAATGTACAGGTGCAACTCGTACGGACCCACTTTTGGTCACGGGCATGATATCTACATATCGAACGACGCTATGAACAACCAAAACTCTTACACCAGATGCGGCTACACGTACTCCATTCCCCGGGCTACTCAGCTGGTGACTGTAGCTTTTCATTGGAGGCAAACATTTTACTCCTGATGACATCGAAGTGTTCTACGAAATAGGTAACTAAATACAAAGAGGTTATTCAGCGGAAAGTTGTGTAATACGGCTGAGCCTTTATGCGAGAAAAATAAACACAGACGAGTAAAAATGCCCAGCTGTATTACACAACTTTCCGCTGTGAATAAATTGTTTATTATACGACATAATATCTTTCCTAAACAAAATATAGGCTTTCAACAGTGTTTTCCGTAGCGCGCGGTCAGGGGGACTAAGACCCGTGTAATACGGTCTCATATTTGCTCTCGTCTTTGTGCGTATTCGCACTCTAAAATGCCATGTCGTATAATAAATACACCTTATTCGATGGTTTAACATATAATACGCGCGGACATTTTACTCATTGCTCGCATTTCCTCGCCCCTACGGGGCTCGGAAAAATACTACGCAACTCGCAAAATATCCGCGCGTATTATATGTTAAACCATCGAATAAGGGATTTATTATTCTACTGCAAAATTTCCGACTATTATGCTATTTTCCGTATTCGCTCTGTTCAAGTAGTCAATACCGTCTCATATTTTACGTGTTCTCTTGACCTTATATGGTGAAATGACATAATAGTAGAATAAGAAATACACCTTATTCGATGGTTTAACATATAATACGCGCGGATATTTTGTGAGTTGCGTAGTATTTTTCCGAGCCCCGTAGAGGCGAGGAAAAATGCGAGCAATGAGCAAAATGTCCGCTCGTATTATATGTTAAATCATCGAATAAGGGATTTATTATTCTACTGCAAAATTTCCCGACTATTATGCCATTCTCCGTATTTGCTCTGTTCAACTAGTCAATATCGTGGCATATTTTACGTGTTCTCGTGACCTTATATGGTGAAATGACGTAATAGTAGAATAATAAATAGATGTTATTGAACTAGCTTGTTCGGTCCGTATTGGGAAAATATTGGTCGAGTGTTTTTTTTGCAAGTTTATGGACCTCGCCTTCGGCTCGGTCCATAAACTTGCAAAAAAAGAACGAGACCAATATTTCCCAATACGGACCGAACAAGCTAGTTCAATAAAGTTTTTATTATAATGGCTTTTTAAAAAAATTTGCTGAGAAATTAGTGCAACCATTCTCGGCTAACGCGCGCGCGACAAAGCTAAGCATATTCTTGCATTTTTCAGGCCACTTTGCGAAAAGTTTAACCAAAATTGTCCGCCAGACATGAGGAAAAAATTTTCTTCTTAACAGTTTTCTTTTGTTCAATGTTTCATAAAAGGAATTTGGCGAAATAAGTTCGTGAGCGGTCCATCTTTGCGGTCCGTATTGCAAAATTCGGACCGCTCAGGGAACCAATCAGAATGTTCCTTTTCATCGTGGACCAGTTTGCCATATAATAAAGTGCCTTATGGCACTGTACGAAGATATTTATACTTGTATATTTGACTATTGATTGGAAAAAAAATATGTATAATGTCTCGCTACTTTCGGGGGCTCGCTACTTTCGATTTTATTAGCAGCCACAAAGTTGTGACGTTACTTTCGGGGGGTCGTTACTTTCGGAACTTTACGGTAATACAACGTGGATAAGTCGCAGTTCAAATGGACCAAGTTTAGATGTGATATAACTGGTGTGACTGTTGGTTTAAATTCCGTTAAGAACACTGTTGTCTTAAACGTTGTCTTCGTTTAAATCATCGGCCCTAAGTGTTTTTAACTATTTATTTTATCTCCTATCTCGTCCCCAGGCCTCGGCGCATCCGTTATTCTTGGCGATCTCGACCACAGCAAATACATCGAGCAGCTGCTGTCTTACTTGGACCCAGTCCTCCTTAACTCAGAGCGTAGTAGATTTGTGAGGTGTTGGCATGCCAAGACAGACGGCTCGGCTGCATCGACATTCCACACCAACTGTGGTGGAAAGGGACCCACAGTGACAATCATCAAAGTCGGCAGTTACATATTTGGTGGATATACTGACGTGTCTTGGTACAGCAGTAAGTATTGTTTTAACTGTCCTTATTTTAATGCCTCCGGAGCGTTAAGTTACGCGAGACGAGTTTTAACGACTATTTTTAATGCAACATTGTTGAACGCGTTAATATAAATTAAAGTCTTAATATCGTGTAACGTGGCGCGCTGGACATTTTTAACGCAACGTTTTGATGGGCACCCAAAGAGGAAATTAAAACAAAAGACTAGCTTGGACTGATGTTGTTTTTTACAGTTCAGGGCCTTTTAAAGGCCGATATTTATGTAATCTATGACATTTATGTAGACGAAAAAACAAAGCTGTTATTGCAGGTTTTACATTTGATTCGGACCGTAACCAGTTGGGACCGCGTGGTCCCGTGTGAACATAGCGCAGTCATTACCCAAGCTAACCGGTCCAGGTTTACACGGTGTAATTTGGGACCAGATCCATTTAAATCCGGGCCATATGCATAATTATAAAAATAGCTTAATCCTTCCCTTTTGTCACGCGTCACGTAAAACACTGTTAAAACGCCTTTGTCGGCTTCACATTTGTTGTTGTAGTTTTTCTTTCCAAAGAGCAGTTTTTACCACATGGTTTCTTTTCATCTGTTTTTGTCATTTTAGGTTCTTGCACTTGGTCCTCAGCTAGTAAAGCTTTCATCTTCTCACTTTACAACGCCCCAGGATACAATCCTGTTAAGCTGACTCAGTATCAAAATCAGGGATACGCAATGTACAGGTGTAGCTCGTACGGACCCACTTTTGGTTCAGGGCATGACCTCCACATATCGAACGATGCTATCAACAACCAAGCTTCTTATACTTATTGTGGCAATACGTATTCCGTCCCCACTGGCTACTCAGCTGGTGACTGTAAGTTTTTCACTGGAGGCCGCAATTTTAGTCCAACTGACATCGAAGTATTCTACGAAATAACTATTTAAATACTAGAACTATTTGCCATCTAAGTGAATATTAAAAAAGAGAGTTAATCCGAACAAGCGTGAGGTCAAGATGGCGGGATACATCTTGACCGAACAAGCTTGATCAATAAAGGATTTATTATATGACTAGAAAGACGCGGGAAAATAGTCTTCTTGCGGGGAACAGAGCGGGCAATTCCGAGCGGCCGGTCAAGATGGATCTTGACCGCGCGGGTAGCCAATCACAGCACAGGATTTGCTTCATCTTGCCCGCTCAAAGAGCCAGCCATATAACAAAAAACCCATATAGAAACGAAGTTCACAGAAACTAACCATCACGAAAAACTGTTTCGTGATGGTTAGTTTCTTTGAATACACCACTGTTTTAAAGTTTAAAACAACATTTTTGTCCCCCCCCCCCCCCCCCCCTCCCCCAACATTTGAACCTAGTTCTCGGGGAGATCCCGATT